TATGATTTATGTAATATGTGACGTATTATAGCTTTAATTTGCATTTCTAAGATTACTAATGAGGTCTGACACTTTTTCATTTATTTATTGGTCATCTTGGATTTCCTGTTTGATGAAGTATCTGCCTGTATCTTTTGTCTGTTTTTCTATTGACTTTTCTTACTGATTTGTATGAGTTCTCCATATAATCTGCATGCTTGGGCTTTGACAGTTACATGTGTTGCAAGCATCTTCTCCAGTTTTGTTTCCTATCTTTTTACTCTTTTAAAACTGTCTTTTGATAAACACAAAGTCTGAATTTTAAGACAGTTGAATGTATCAATCTTTCCCTTTATGAATTCTTGGACTAAGCCTGTCTTCTAGCTATTGTTTTCCACCTGTGTCTTCAACTGTATGCCCATCTTGATGCCCCCCTATTGTCTCCATATAAACATCTCTTCTATGCTCTGGACACGTGAGTTCAACTGCTCACTTGATGGCTCCACCTCCATATCCCACAGACAGTCCAACACCAGTTTACCCCAAACAACTCATCCCTCCAAGTTCACCTGCTACCACTCTACCACCCCTAACTTGTATTTTCTAACTCCATGACTGACACAACTATTCACCAATCACAAAGCCAGTGTCTTGTGAAATTGTCCTGATCACTCTTTCTCTTATAAGGATCCATTTTTTCTGATTCTACAATCTAAACCTTGCCCCACTCTGTCTTCTCCTCCATGTCTCCAATGCCAGAACGTAAGTTCCATGAGACTAGGGACCTTGTCCAGCAACATCAGTAATGGATAGTGCTTAACAGAATGAATTCTGGAGTCCAATTACCTGATTCAAATCCTGACTCTGTCAATTATAAACTATCTAAGTAAGAAAGTTATGTGACCTCTTCTTCCTCAGTTTCCCCATTGGTAAAATTGGGGATGGTCACAGTACTGATTCATAGGGTTGTGGTGAGGGTTGAATCAGTTAATGCATGTATGGTACTTAGAAAAGAACAGGGCACATGGTAAGCACTCGATAAATATTGACTATTATACCACCTAGCATGGTGGTAGCATGGTGGTAGGGTATAATATTCAGTCAATATTAATATTAATAGCCAATATTTATTGAGTGCTTACTATGTGTCCTGTTCTTTTCTAAGTTCTGTTATACCCTAGCATGGTGGTAGGGTATAATATTACACATCAAAATATATTTTAAGCATCAAAAACTATCATCAAAAGTTAAGCATCAAAAATATTTATCAACAGAAATGAATGAATGCCACTGCTCTCATTTAGACTCATTATCTTTGCTTCAACAATTGCAGTAGTCTCCTAACCGGGCTTACTTTCTACTAACCATCCCATCTCTCATTCCACTCATTCTGTGCACTGACATTAGGGTTATAACTTCTTGTATAGAAACACGAATGTGTGGTGTCACGCCATTGCTTAACACCATCCTGTGGATCTCAAACTTCACAGGGAGCCAGAGCAAAGTCCAAATGCTTCAGCAGAACGCAGGTGCATGAACGTGTCATCTGGCGATTGCCTACCTAGCTCTTCTCCCACCTCCACACTCCATTTACCTGCACTCCATTTACCAAACACACTGCACTCACAGACACACAACCTGCACTCCCTTTACCAAACCACCGGCAGTTCCCAAATGAGCCACATTTCTTCATTCCTTTCCTGCCCAGAATGCCCTCCCTGTGCCCTGTCCAGCTGACAAAAATCATTTTCTTTTTACTCCAGCAACTACATCAAGTCCCAGATGTAGGCGCTTCCAGGCAGAGTTAGATGCATGTATTATTACAGCATTTATCAAATTACATTATAACTATTTATTTACATGTCCACCCCCACTTCCCCAGGCTCCTGAGAGCCAGATCGTATTTAGATTTGTATTTCTGGCAAGAAGCACGAGGGCTATGGAAGCTTAATATATATTTGTTGAATGGATGGTTAGTTTTAAGAAGTACCTAATAAACCTTGGTATTTGTATTTCCTTGAATCTTGTTTTGGTTGCTGCTTTTTTTTTTTTTAATAGAAATAGTCACTGCTGCTTATGTTTACAAGTTTATTGAGGTCTAATTTTATCCTTTAATATGAAGATTGCTGGTATCATTCATTCCCTCATGCATTCATCAACAAATATTTATTGGGAAACACTTGTCAGATACTGGATTTGAAGTGAACAAATTAGACATGGCCCCTACCCTCATAAAACTTACAGTCTATTAAATCTATTAAATATGAAGGACAGACTGACCTTGAACCAATAAACATATCCATGTAAAATAATCATTTGAAGTCAGAGTCATAAAGGAAAAGAACAGGCTATAAAGAGGAAGAATAACAATAGAAACCTTTTTTTTGAAATGGAGTCTCACTCTGTCACCCAGGTTGGAGTGCAGTGGTGCCATCTCGGCTCACTGCAACCTCCACCTCCAGGGTTCAAGCTATTCTCCTGCCTCAGCCTCCTAAGTAGCTGTGATTACAGGCACACACCCCCACACCTGGCTAATTTTTGTATTTTTAGTAGAGACGGGGTTTCACCATGCTGGTCAGGCTGGTCTCGAACTCTTGACCTCGTGATCCACCCACCTCAGCCTCCCAAAGTGCTGGGATTACAGGTGTGAGCCACTGTGTCTGGTCGGGACCTAATTTAGATAGAACAGTTAGGGAAGTTTCTTTGAAGAAGTTACATTAGAGACAACACTAAAAGATGGGTAGGAGTAAGCCATGCAAAGTCATGGAGAAAGAGCATTCGAGGCAGAAGGAACAGCATGTGTGAAGACCTTAAGCAAGTGGAAGGCAGCTGCTGAGGCTGGGGCCTGGGAGATGGGGGCTGGGAGTAGACAAGCCTAGGGAAGTTGTCAGGGTCCAGATGATGGGGTAGTTCATAGGGAAGACACTGAAGGTTTAACACGTGGGAGTGACAGGACCCTCTGGCGGGGCTCTGCCTGTGAGCACCACACAGCACCCTGAGGATGTGTGTGCTACTCTAGGTTTCAGTGGAGAAAAAAGCAAGTGACAACCCTTCTGTCCCTACTCAGCAAAAGCTCTGATCACCAGCCCTCTTCGCCTGAACATACAGAAGAAAAATAATGGAAGTGCATTTCAAGGGTCACCTGTGAGAAGACCCTGAGCTGCCCTGGCTGTTCAGGTGGAAGTTGTCCTCTTCCTCAGTGACCTCGGCTGTTGGAAGACATGGCTGGGCAGACTGAATCTAAGAGTTCTTCCAGGTGCAACGGAAGTCCCTGGAGCTCAGTGACAGAAACCAGTATCCAAAGGCAGATGCCACCCTGGGGAGGAGGACTTTGGAAGTTCCTGGAAGGCTGTAACACCGCCCGGAAGGCTCCTCTCTCCCACATATTCACAAAGCTCCATGGTGAGCCAGGCCCTGCTGGTCTTGCAGTATCCACCTATGATGCGAAGTAAACAGTGCCACACCTCAAGCTGTCCCCAGCCTTGCCCGTGCTCCCACTACCAAACGAGGGAACACTGGGATTGCCCCAGCAAGGTGTTATTTATGTCAGGCTGGGGCCACTGTGACTCCCAGCAATTATTACTTTCTAGGTGCCCTTACAGACCCCCCCACTTCCCCCTGAATATACCAGAGTGTGAACACCCCCTCCCTCTCCACAGCCCCCCACAGTGGGGTTCGGGTGGGCAGGGAGGTGGCTTCATCCCTCTATGTGCAGCCCTTGGAAACCTACTTAGGCTATTTGTCACTCAGGCTTCAAGCTGCCAGCCGAGGAGGGGAGCTGAGAAGACTCCATAATGAGATCTTTGCGCTGTAATTAAGCGCCAGGCTTTGTTTTACGCCTATCTTTCCCACCTCCCCCAATCCTATTGCCAAGCTCCTCTAGGCAATGAGTGAGTGGGGAGTGTCAGCTGCTCTGCGATTACCCCCCAAGTAGCAGGTGGCAGGGAGCCCCTCCGCCTGCAGCCTGCGCCCCACCCCCAGGCTTCCCCCACCACCAGTCTTAAATAAGGCAGTGCCATTTCTGTCCTCGAACTGGGTTTCACCCCAGAAAGCCACTTCACTTCTTATAAGGCTACCTCCTTTTAACCCTTTGGTGGCAGGGCCTCTGGGGTATCCATTTCTTTCTTTTTCTTTTCTTTTTTTTTTTTTTTTTTGAGACGGAGTTTCGCTACCCAGGCTGGAGTGCAATGGCGCGATCTCGGCTCACCGCAACCTCCGCCTCCTGGGTTCAGGCAATTCTCCTGCCTCAGCCTCCTGAGTAGCTGGGATTACAGGCACATGCCACCATGCCCAGCTAATTTTTTGTATTTTTAGTAGAGACGGGGTCTCACTATGTTGACCGGGATGGTCTCGATCTCCTGACCTCGTGATCCACCCGCCTCGGCCTCCCAAAGTGCTAGGATTACAGGCTTCAGCCACCGCGCCCGGCCTTCTTTCTTTTGACATGTTCTTTTTCCTGAAAGTTTCAGCAAACCCCAACAGCAGAGGGGGTGAGGAAAAGGAAAAGAGAAGTCAGGGCAGAAGGAGCACTGTTGTTAGAGGACAGGAAGGGCCTGTCTTCTCTCTGGTCCTCCACACAAAATCGGGGCTTTCTTCTCAAACATCCCAGCTCCCAAATACATGCAGTAGCTTCTGCTGACGGGACTGTGTCATTGTGATCTTCACATCTGAGCCTGAAGTTTAGCCTCGCTGAAGAAGCTCCCGATTGGGAGTCAGAGAACACGCGATGGAGCTCCTCCTTGACCCAGCCGCGCTTTTGGACAACACTTCAGGTCTTCCGCCTGGGTTTCCCCCTCTGTACGATGAGGAGAGGATGGGAAGGGGCGGTGCTGGCCTGGGTGATCTCGGTGGATACCGTGGGAGTCTGCAGAGGCCACAACATAACCTCTGCCTGCTTTCCCGGGGCAGCCCTCGGAGAAAGCCCTTCCCCGGGGCGGGGCGGGGCCTAGGCGGGGGCGTGGTCTGGCCGGTGGGTGAGCCCCGACGTGGGCGGGGCCGCGGGGCTTTCGGGAACCCGGGCGAGGGCGCCGCTTCTGCGGCCGGGAAGAGCGAGCCCAGGCGCCGGCGGTGCGGGGAGGCGTCCCAGAGGTGAGCGCCCTGCAGCGGCAGGGGACGGGCCGGGGCCCTAAGTCGCAGGCGGCGCAGGGCGGGGACGCGGCTGCCAGCTGCGGTCAGACGCCTCTCCACCCTCCTCCCGGGCTGTTCCGGTCTGTTTCTCCAGTCTATTTCCAATTTCCCTATTTCCCAGAGAGGCGGCACTCCCTGCCCCACAGCACCCCCGAGACGTGGAGTCCCTCGGCCCAGGGCTGGGGTGAGGGTGTCATGCGGATGGCCTGTGCCTGGCAGGTTGGAGACCTTGGCAGTGACCAAGTCACTCACATCCCTGCCTTGAAACAGAGCGGGTCTCTCTTGTGCAGTCTGTCACCCTCGCCCCCACCCTGTGGAAGAGGCTGGTGGCTTGTCCCCAGTCACTTGATTCCTTGGAAAAGGAAGTCAGAGGGCCACCTCCAGCAGGGCCATGGAAATCCCAGAAAGTCACTGATCTGCTCGACAAAAAGCCCTGAACACCCCACCCCACAACACCAGGCAGTGTACCCTGGCCAAGACTCCGTGGTAAATATTGCTGGCCTTTATGTTGAGAGAGGGGGAAACAAGTCTGCCTGTGAAGATCATCACCCAGTGCCTACGCTCCTGTGAAACCACAATTGGAAAGCCGTTTCCTAAGGGGCGAGGGTGGGTGTGGGACGACACCGTGGCTTAGGTGGTCAGCGGTGCTGGGAGTGAGGGTGCTTGCCCCAGGAAGGTGCTGAGGCCCTGTTGGGTGGGAATCGATGGCAGTGGCTCAGAGGCGGGAGAGCAGTATTGTTACCTAGTGTTAGGAACACATCCATCCAGCACCATGAACTGCAAACAAGCAGAGTAACCCCAGTGTCCTTCAGATACTGTTGCTGAGCAGTGACCTAATCAATGAGGTGCTGTCTGGACGGCAGGTGCATCTGTAATGCTGCCCTCTTGCTCAGTGCCTGGAAGAGGCATTGGTGACTCCCCGCTGTGCTAGGGGTAGCTCCCATGCAGGAGCAGTCAGGTTCTTGCAGGGCCTGTGTGGTTTCATCAGTTTTCTCTGCGTTTACCTAGCCCCTCTGAATTCTGAATAGTGTGTCCAAGAGTCTTGGACTCCTTGACTCACTTCACCCTTGTTCTTGTGTGCAGAAAACACTTCCCGATGAGCCATGCACAGCCAGTCAGAAGGGAAACCCTGGAGCAGACCCTGGGAGAAGTTCTGTGGGGCTAGATGCTAATTATTCAGTTACTGGATTGTGGGAAAATTCCAGGGGAGGTCCCAGAGGAGGGACTGGGCAAAAGCTAATTACCAAGCAGTACAAAAATAATGTGTATTTCTTTCCTTTTTTTTTTTTTTTTTTTTTTTTTTTTTTGAGATGTAGTCTTACTCTGTCACCCAGGCTGGAGTGCAATGACACGATATCTTGGCTCACTGCAACCACTGCCTCCTGGGTTCAAGAGATTCTCTTGCTTATGCATCCCAAGTAGCTGGGATTACGGGTGCCCACCACCACACCTGGCTAATTTTTGTATTTTTAGTAGAGACAGGGTTTCACCATGTTGGTCAGGCTCATCTCAAACTCCTGACCTTAGGTGATCTGCCAGCCTAGGCCTCCCAAAATGTTGGAATTACAGGTGTGAGCCAGCATGCTGGGCCAAAAATAATATAAATTTTAACAATCAGTATGACCATGCCTGTGCACATGGGCTTCATTATCAGTCCGACTGATTCTTCCTTCCAAAATGATGGCAGAGGATCACCCCTTTGGACGTTTACAGCTCTGAGCAAAGCAAAAAGCATTTAGATGCCATTGTCTGAATGCAAAACCAGTCCTGCCAGGTTTTCAGTGTGGTTTCTGGGGAGGGAGCACCTCTCCTGAGAAAGGTGTTTCCAGCACAGTGCCTCTGTTGTTTGTTCCTGTGCATCAGGAAGTTTGGCTCTGCTGAATGTTGCAAGCAAAACTCTCCTGTTTATTTGTCTCTGCATGCTCACAGACTTAGACAGCAGACAACACTGGAATGTCCACTTACTGCAACCAGGTGGTTTTATTTCACTCTTAGCATTGTGGGAAATAATTTAGAAGGCAGATTCAAACCGCCAATGAGATCTCTGAAACTTAAGTGATTCCCACCCTTGGTCCCTTAATGTGTGAGCCACAGCATAGAGTGTCTTCAGCTCTCTTGAGACAAACCCAAGTGTGAGGTATAGTCCCTGCTGACCAGAAGCTCCTGGGTCTAAGTGGGAAGACAAAACCAGCACCTGTGAAACAATGAGAGAGCAATTAAGCGTCAAAGTATGTGACAGCATCTGCTAGCTCGAAGAAGACAACTAGTTCGGACTGACTGGGAAAGGAAGCGAGGGCTCCACAGAGCCAGCTGGTGTTCAGCTTGACTTAAGAATGATCATCAGGGCTGGGCCACGCCCGGGGAAGGAAGCATGAGGATATATGAAGCTCAGAATAAGCAAAGACACTTGCTGCCCAGAGCCAATTCAAATTCCTGCCTTCCAGGAATTCTGGCTATGGGTCCTCCCACTCTCTTCCTGCACCTAGCCATACTGTCCTCCTTAAAGGATTTTAACCGTGCCTTTTTTTTTTTTTTTTTTTTTTTTTTGAGATGGAGTCTCACTCTGTCACCCAGGCTGGAGTGCATTGGTGCAATCTTGACTCACTGCAACCTCTGCCTCCTGGGTTCAAATGATTCTCCTGCCTCAGCCTCCCAAGTAGCTGGGACTATAGGTGTGTGCCACCATGTGTGGCTAATTTTTTGTGTTTCTAGTAGAGACACGATTTCACCATGTTGGCCAGGCAGGTCTCAAACTCCTGACCTCAGGTGATCTACCTGCCTTGGCCTCCCAAAGTGCTGGGATTACAGGCATGAGCCACCGTGCCCGGCCTGACCATACCTTTCTGGTGTGCCTTCTTCACTTTATGTCTACTCTCCTGCACTCAAGTTGCCCTGCTGAGCAATCCTCTACATTTTTTAAGAAGCGGCTCAAATAGCACTTTCTCAGTGAAGACTTCCGTGGCTGGCCCCTGCTGCAGTCTTTGAGCAGAGTTGGAGGCTTTCTGCTTTGTCCTCCACTGCTCCTTGCATAGACCTCTGCTGAAGCTTCGCATTGTCCATAGGAGTTAAGGGGTCTTTGGCCCACTCACTGAAGCAGAGCTGTGTCTCACTTACCTGGGGATCCCCTGAGCCAAATTTGGTGCCTAGCACATCAGAGGCATTTGATAAATGATTCTTGATGGAAATTCAAGCCCATATAGGGAAGAGTGAAGTGCTCCACCAACTTGGAGTAGAAGGTTTGGGTTATGTGTTATAAGGAGTCTCAGACTGGATAAATTAGGTGGAGCCAATTCCCAGAGGCCTTGAGGAGTTTTAATGTAATGTCATGGTGGTGCTGAAAACTCATAGCACCCCCTGCTGCGTTCACTATAGAATTCTAGAGTCTTCTTGATCTGGCCCCAGCATATCCTCTTTAGCCTCATCTTCCACCAGCTCCCACCTTGAGCCCACAAGTCTACCTTCTGAGCCACTCCAGCCCCAGGGAGCTCCCCAGGCTTGGGCTCTCTCTTCTCCTTTGACCATGCTGTTTGGCAGCCTTAGCCAGGAATGCCTACTGCTCTCCCTAGCTAATTCCTGATCATTAGGACTCCAGATTTGAATCCCCTATGTGCAGAGGCCCCTCAGGCTGGGTTTTCAAGTTCTCCTCTGTGCTCCCTAGCACTCTGCACAGCCTCTAACGGCATTTATCACACCATCTTATGGCTGCTGGTTACTTGACCATCTCCCTGCTGGTTAGCTCCCTGAAGGCAGTGATTGGATTAATCCTTGATGTATCCCCCATCAGCTAACATTGTTCCTAGAAGATGGCGCCCAATAAGTGTGCATTGGATGGTAGGCTGAACCAGGGTAATAAAAATATTAGAAGAAGGACAAATCTAGAGACATCTGGAAGGGGAAAGCTAGAATTTGGTGATTAGTTATATATGAAGAGTGTATTAGTCTGTTCTCAAATTGCTAATAAGACATTCCTGAGTCTGAGTAATTTATAAAGGAAAGAAGTTTAATGGACTCACAGTTCCACATGGCTGGAAAGGCCTCACAATCATGGTGGAAGGCAAGGAGGAGCAAAGTCACATCTTACATGGCAGCAGGCAGGAGAGCGTGTGCAGGGGAACTCCCATTTATAAAACCATCAGACCTCGTGAGACTTATTCATTGTCATAAGAACAGCCCGGGGATGCCAGGCGCGGTGGCTCAAGCCTGTACTCCCAGCACTTTGGGAGGCTGAGGCGGGTGGATCACGAGGTCAAGAGATCGAGACCATTCTGGTCAACATGGTGAAACCCTGTCTCTACTAAAAATACAAAAATTAGCTGGGCATGGTGGCACGTGCCTGTAATCCCAGCTACTCGGGAGGCTGAGGCAGGAGAATTGCCTGAACCCAGGAGGCGGAGGTTGTGGTGAGCCGAGATCGCACCATTGCACTCCAGCCTGGGTAACAAGAGCGAAACTCCGTCTCAAAAAAAAAAAAAAAAAAAAAAAAAAAAAAAAAAAAAGAACAGCCCGGGGAAGACACACCCCCACGATTCAATTACCTCCCACTTGGTTCCTCCCAAACACATGAGAATCATGGAAGCTACAATTCAAGATGAGATTTGGGTGGGGACACAGCCAAACCATATCAGAGAGTAAGGGGCAAGTTTCCTTAAAACCTATGAGGCAGGTGGAGATGGTATCCTGAAGGGGTAGGATTCTCTGGCCTGGGGAGAGGTCCACCTATATGTCTCTGAGTGTTTATGCAAAAATGGTTTTGCTTCCTGAAGGATTTTCAAATTTTAAAATATTAAGTCACTTTGAGACATATTGAGTCTGATGTTAAAATGGGAATGTCCTAGCGTCAGCTGAAATACACACTTTGAGTGCAGGCGATGTCAGGCGTAGAAAAAGATTTTGGGAGCATGGTGGCAACAGTTTAATTTGTGAAAGCAAATGTAGTCACTAAGGGAAGAAGCATAATGCAG